TAATAGAAAGTTTAAACGTTCTGCGTTGGTAAAAAAAAAACAAATTAAAAAATTCTCCAGTAGTAGTTTCAAAGAAACGTTTAAAACTTTTCTGCGCGCCACGACCTAATAAATCGTTATAATAAATGTACAAGTATTTTAATTAAAAGTATGGAAAAAAAAAAACATAAATTATTCAATATATTACAAGTGCTCAAATTGAAAAAAATTTACTTACCTTCGCCAACTAAGTCTTGTCCAGACTTAGGTCCCTCAGACCTTTTTTTGCGCTTCAAAATTCAAACTTCGCAAAGCTGTTAAACGAATGACGCTGAGTCAACGACCTCTAGCATTGTCTAAGACCCTAAAGTTTTTTTTCACGGCCTTCAGAGACGTCGCGCTAAACTGATACCTAGCAGAGACATCGGTGTAAAACTTTTTGGGTGTGGGTCTGGAAGACCTTACATTTGGTACACTGGAAGGGTTAAGTCTAAGAAATGGCGCTGTGTATGTTATCCTTTGGATTCGCTCTCTTAGAAATGCAAAAATGTACAGATAAGTTTGCATTTTAGATTACGCTCACGTAGCCGCCAGTAACAGAGAGAGAGTTGGCGACTGTACAATAAAAATAAATACACACACACACACACACACACAATACACATATGTTATTCTAGGATAGATTCAAAATATATAAAAAGATTCATTGAATTCTCTTTGAAACGATGAATACATCGGATCCTCGGATTGTTCGGGCTTCGGGAAAAGTTTGTGTCCGTCAGTCATCCTGCGCGGGGGATGAGGGGTGAGGGGGGGAGGGTGAACCTGTGCGGCGCGGGTTTTCGAATCGCTTCCGTGCATAATGGCGCGCCATACCGCGGTATCTGTCCCTGACACAGCGACGTCGGATCGATGAAATGCAAAGCACCCGACGGCGTCGCGACGCCCCGCTCGATTCGCTCACGAATGGCCGGCCGGCGTCGCGATTCGCAATTTGCGAACGTAAACGAAATTATCGGACGAATGGCCGGAGCGCCGACGACCGCCCGTCCGCCCTTTCCCGCCGCCGCCGCCGCCGCCGATTCTCTCGGATGAGTAATTGCATTAGAACACATTTTCGAAACGTATCGCTTCGTAATAATGATCGTAATGATAGCAACAACACGCATGTGTGTGTGTGGCTAATAACCGACTAATAGTTAATGTAGATAACGCTGCGGGGTTTGGTTGTGACGCAGTGCAAATGTCTTGCACGTGATTTTTTTTTTTTTTTTTTTAGACGCATTAAAATATATATATTTTACGTGGCCCACATACGCGCGGCGCTAAATACGGTCGTCCAATTAACGATCTGACGTAAAGCGTCGCATGCAATTATCACGTAAGAAGGAGTACGGAATTAGAGAGCTCTGTGTATGTATATGTATTTCTTTTTTTTTTTTTTTCACACCGCGTGTCGGTGCTATTAACACCAAGCAATACCTCTCATCTCATACAGTGTGTTTACATGTGTGTGTGTGTGTATATATATACAGGGTGTCCCAGAATTGCCGTACAATCTCTTGTAGGCAGGTAGAAGGAGTAAAACTGAGTCAAAAAGTCCTGAACCATTTTTTTCTATTATTTATAATAAAGGAATAATTATTGAGTAAATCAGGCCAATCAGCGCAGACCTTTAGCCAGGCGCACGTCAGTGAGCCGCGCGCCTGGTGTGTGTGAGNGCTCACTGACGTGTGCCTGGCTAAAGGTCTGCGGTGATTGGCCTGATTTACTCAATAATTATTCCTTTATTATAAATAATAGAAAAAAATGGTTCAGGACTTTTCGATTCAGTTTTACTCTTTCTACCTGCCTACAAGAGATTGTACGGCAATTCTGGGACACCCTGTATATATGTATACATGAGAACGAAATAACTGCAGTAAAGCTGTCACTTGTGTTAGATTTTACGTTTTACCATTTCTTATCTCTTCGAAAGATTGATATTTGACGATCGCGATTTTTCACCTCCGGATTTGACGTCACCGGCTATCGTTTTTCCGTGTCGCGCCGCCGCCGCCGCCGTCGTCGTCGTAAACCATCGGGCGGCGCAAACTGATAGTGCGATTTTCACCCGGACGATATTTTCCACGGCGACACACCTAATCCTGTAATCTCGAGAGAACTCTGTAACCCCCGCCTGTGTGTGTGTGTGGTTTGCCGTTATTTATCAGCCGCGCACATCTGCAATCACCGCGCGTAGAGAGAGAGAGAGAGAGAGAAACGTGCACGCGCGTCGGTCGGTGCACACGCGATCAAAACAAGCAGCGACGGGGGTAACGATAGATGCGCGTATTATTTCTTTTCGTGTCTCCTTGAGAAATTCGATATCGTGCCCCAGAGATATTCGATACGACCGCGACCTTGCCGCCGCCGGTGGACTGATGCGCGCGGTAGGTACGTAGGTGAGGTCGTCATACACGGTCAAATGTCACCTTGAGATTGCCCGCAAGCAAATCTGTGAAGAAAGTGAGAAAAATTAAATAAAAAAAAAAAAAAACAACGCGATCAGGAATACAAATGTGTCTTTGTAGATATAAAACAAAAGACGTTCGCACCGCTTTTACGTATAAATAATATATATATATATATATATATATATATTTGTTCGCGTGTAAATTTTTACACGCGAGTTTTTTGAATTGAATATCAATTCTTAAATTCATATTGGATGCTAGATTTGCATCACATATATGAGAGATCCCATCTATCCCCCTAACTAATTTTGAAAATATTGCGAAAAAAGCATCCAATATGAATTTAAGAATTGATATTCAATTCAAAAAACTCGCGTGTAAAAATTTACACGCGAACAAATATATATATATATATATATATATATATATATATACAGTTTTTCCGCACAACATCCTGCGATCGGCTCGGATGACCGTAATTATATTTCTTAGTTTAGTAACTTATCGAGCTTCAATAAGCTTTAATTGTTAAATAATATATAATCGGTAAAATTCACTTCAAAATGAAATAAATACTGACTTTTACTTTTACAATAAACAAAGTTAAAATTTGCACCTCTACAACTGTGTCTGCTTCTAAGAGCCGTTGTTCTGTTAAATATTTTTTAAATTGTCGGAGCTTTATACACATCAAAATTAATAAATACCGATATTGTGTAGAAAATTGCGCTTTTGCAAAAACGTTGTCTATTCCAATACTCGTGACGATCGATCGTCCCGATTTTTGTTAAGATATTTGATAGAGGCGATTAACACAAAATATACTTCTCGATTTACATAGAAATTAATATACATATACAAGCTCCGCCACACATTGGTCGAACAAGCGGATAACTATTCGCTACTATTCGCCTCCTTGATGTGTTAACGTACATCAACCGACGATCGTATGCAATTATCGGACATTATTGAGTGATATAATTAATCAGTCATTATGGAAACAACGTAATTATCGTTGCTATGTTCATTCCCCCGTCTACGCCAGAGCGTATGACTCATCTTGTCGTCAAAGTAAACAATGAGATTAAATGTTTCTCAGTCATTAGCTTTTTCTTTGTTTTTTTTTAATTATATATTATGCATATTATAATGATGTGTTTTTATGTAGAAATCTTTGTTTGTCTTGAATTTAACGATCGATTGTTTCATTGTACCGTTAACTCTTAATGCAATTCATGTTGGTACACGCGAATGTTTTTTTTTTTTTTTTTTTTTCAACAAGAAACGTAATAGACTTAAGAAAATACATACATTGTATCGTGACAAAGATAATAATGCATAATAAAAAAATTAAACCGTGAGACATTTTCAAGCGCCATTTTCTTTTGTGAAATACGTGTCACGTTTGTATTATAACTATAAGCTCCGTTAAAGATATATATATATATATTCTCACAGCACGGGAAAATGAAAACGTTTCCGTTACAGAAATTTTTATTGCGAAAACGTTGACGTTTCAATGATTGAGGATGAGATTACAGACTGTTATCGAGCGAGAGTGAAACGAGAGAGTCACAGTTTATGTCTGCGCTCTTACACGCGCGTTTTTTTTAAGCGATAATATTTCATATTCTTCCCCCCGTTACGTTTCTCTTTTTTAAAAAATTAGCAAATATATTATACGCGCACCACGTGAAATCCGCAGCGGTTTAACCCGAATTAATTAAATATTTGATAAAAAAAAAAATGAGCAAACAATTGAGCAAAATAAGAAACATAAGAAGCAAATATACGTATAAAATGTTGTACGTGTAAAACATTAAATGGACCGTTTATTTTGAAAGTGGTGTAAGTCCATTTTTCTTTTGTTTCGAAAAACTTATAGGTTAACATATCTGTCAATTATGAATTATGAATTACGTGATATCTCATTTTTTTTCAAAAATGGACTTACACCATTTTCAAAATAAACGGTCCAAATAAAAACATGAACTGTTAAAAAATTGGAGAATTGCAAAAACACGTTACTCAAAGTTGTCACAATGATGAGAACGAGATCTATCTAATTTTACAGTTCACAGAATTGCGCAAAATTGCAAAATTAATTTTACAAATAAATATTTGCCGTGTCTTGATTGACACGCTATTGTTCGTTAAGTGAGTTCGTGAGTTTAAAAAAAAAAAAAAAAAATAAAATATATATTCTCTCACGAAGGAAAACATAAATATTCCGTATTTACGCGATCAAGCCGCGGCATAAATGCATTTGCTCACGTTTTTCTTTTTCTTTTTTATTTTTTTCTAGTTCGGAGCGCCTCTTTTCCATACCCTGAATATATATTTTTCCGTCGAAAACGAGCCAAGCAGTTTTTCGACAAGGAGCGAGAGTGACTTTATAAAGCGAATAAACTACTTAGGTCGTTTTGTATGTCAGAGCGAAATGTGAATTCACGCGCCGAGTAAATCGCGTTTATCGAGGCGGAAAACGTTTTAATCACTCGTCTTTTTTTTTCCCTCCCATCTACACGCAGCCGTTCTCAAATATTTTCTCATTTTGTGTTGCAGGCGGTATCGGAGAGACTCGAATTGACACCAGCTGGCGGAAGATCGGAGCCGCAGGTGAGTAATACCACGAGAGAGAGAGAGAGAGAGAGAAAGAAAGACAGAGACTTCTCGGGTTCAGCTTTTATTCCCGTTTTTCAAAAAGAAATATTGCTCAAATTTATCGTTTTTTTTTTCTTTATTTACGTTGTCGTAATTCTCGTCGAAGCTCGTACTTTTTTACGCTCAAAAACAAATGTGAATAAATTTATGTTCCAAACAATTAGTAATTAATAGAGATTATTCTCAGGCTCTGTAGTTTTTAAACTAATGTCAAAAAGTTTAAAAAATTTATGTTTGTTCGATTAAATCGTTAATTATTTCTCACGAAGTCAATTCTAGTTCTCGTGATATTTATTTGTGCAGAAAGCAAAAAAAAAAAAAAAAAAAAAAAAAAAAAAAAAAAACGGAGATTGATTCCCGATCGAACTTCATGACGAGCAAAACATTTTGATAAAGTTGTTGGGTGTATCAAAGCGTGTTCTCGCTGCTTTTTGCGGCTTTAAACGCGAGATTCTTTAATGACCATATCTTTCTTCGTAACAAAGGTTGCCACGTTGTGCGAACCCGGCGAGGTGTATCTCGCTCAGCACATGGGAGAGCAGGGTCGATGGGTCTCCTCGACCGACAAGAAGAGTTGCATGACGGACAAGCTCGAGATCCTGGAGTATTGTAAGAAGGTGAGAAAAAAGTTGATAAGATCCAAGCAGCTATTAAATTCTTTCTCCTTACGTGTGTGTGTGTATATATATATATATATATATATATATATATATATATGTACCGTTCGAGATATCGACGTTGGGCACATTACAGTCGATGAAGTACCTGCACATAGACATTAAAAATAGATCTCTGACATTTTTCTATCGTCGAACTTTTTAGTTATCTTTCTTCTTCCGTCCATTATTTTACTTTGTGAAAATCCGATAAAAACGTGTGTATATATACATATATACGTATATATATATGTATATATTTCGCAAGTGAGATTCGTTCAGAGTTTGCAAGAAGAGAAGAAATCTCTCGACGATTTTTATATTCGTCACACGCGCGCAAAAACAATCAGTTGGAATTGTTATCTCACATTTCGGGAGTTTTTAAAAAATATTTTTAATTAAAAAAAAAAAAAAAAAAAAAAAAAAAAAAAAAAAAGTAAAATAACGGAAATAATAGTATCGCATATATAATATTCTACATTCTAGATTCTCGAGAAGTGGATCACGCGCGGCGAAAGGCCGGGGACTAACTTACGCGAGGAATAATAACGTTCTCTGTAACGTTGGTTTGNATATATGTATATATTTCGCAAGTGAGATTCGTTCAGAGTTTGCAAGAAGAGAAGAAATCTCTCGACGATTTTTATATTCGTCACACGCGCGCAAAGATCGTCAGTTGGAACGTCTGTCTCACATTTAGGGAATATCTCGAAAGTATTTTTAATAAAAAAAAAAAAAAAAAAAAAGATCGAAAGAGAAATTGAAAAATAGCGGACATAATAGTACCGCATATATACAAATTTACATTCTAGATTCTCGAGAAGTGGATCACGCGCGGCGAAAGGCCGGGGACTAACTTACGCGAGGAATAATAACGTTCTCTGTAACGTTGGTTTGTGCGACACGTTCGCGCAATTCACTGTGCACATACAAAGCGCGAGAGATAAGTGCGAAGCTTGTGTGCACGTGCATTTATGTGCGCGTGTATATATATATATATATGTATACACATATTTGCAAAGAAAAACGACTGACATTTCTCACGTGTCAGATGCGTCGGTCGATAAAAATCACCGTTCTCGATGCAAAACTCACCGCAGAGTTGTGTGAAAAATTTATTAAAATCTTCGCTTTAAATAATTAAAACAACCTCTATTAAATTATACGAGATGTATATCGAACTCCGGACTATATTTTCTTTCGCGGAGTCACATATTTACAGAGAAAACCGGGCTACTAAGCGAGTGAATTATTAATTAAGAGTTGTTATTTCATATCGTGTCCTAAGCGCCTGGGACGCCGCTTGCGACCCCGCGGGCAGAATTTTAAGTCGTTTATAATCTTCCGTAGAATTCGCGTTAATCGAATTTTCATTCGTTTCGTTGACGCGTCTTCGCGACAAAACACCGAAGTTATTCACGGTTCGTTATCTCGTCTGTCATTTTGCAACGCGCGAAAGTATAACGTTAATCCTCGCCCGATATAATTTTATTATGCGCGGAGATTGCTGCAAGCCGGTCTCTGAAAGAGTTTGTTGCGCGTCGTTGAATTATTTATTCGACCTGGTACTTTGTCTAAATTTCCTCTCAACCGGTGCGTGAAAACACGCTAAGTATTACACTCGGGGGCGACACCTAATCCTTTTCCTCTCTGGTGGTCCATGAAAGCTTTTGTTTTAATTCGCGATTTCAATGAAATGAAAAGGACGAATTACAAAAAGCTCTCTGTTAGTTGAATTCGTCTTCAAATTGTTAACTGTAACGTAAATTAACAACAAAATTTGTTTTGTACAACAAATTTTGAATGTAAAATAAATTAATAAATTAAATAACGGCTCGATGAGATACTCAAATAAAAGTAAAAAACCGTAGAGCCTATTGTCCAGGAAGGAAGTGGAACTTTAATTTGAATGTAAACCAACAATGTGTATTTAAGTTAGACGTTTCAATCATTTATTGTTGATCGGATAACGGATATCTTTCAAAATTTTATAAATGTATGTATTATGTTATTTAAGAGTGCTGAAGATGATCAACAATAAATGACCGAAACGTCTAACTTAAATACACTGTTGATTTACATTCAAATTAAAGTTTCACTTCCTTCCTGGAAAATAAATTAAATTCAAGAAAAGTGCGTTCAATAATTTACTTGTTATTCTCTTTTGACTTTTTTTGACAAAAAAACATATAAGTGGGAAAATATTTTTAATGTTTCGATTTATATTAAAAGCACAAACACAAAACGTATATTTAACAGAGAGTTGTTTTTTTAATTTCGCCATTACAGAGAGAACGTCTCTCGACTTAAAGATTTTGATTCGCTCATTACCACGTGTGTTGCGAAACATCGTCTGATATAACAAGAACGTGCGTTTTTGCGGGTTCTTTACACGGAGATTGAGCAATTCGTTGGTTCGTAAATAATAACACGTTTCGCCGAGAGCGCGCGCGTGTATACGCTCGATAATTACCTTTCGGCCGACGCGATTACAGACTTGCTTGGACCAGGCCACTTAACAGGGGCTCCTCTCAGCACGAACCCCTTAATCCAACGCGTGTGTCTGATATATATATATATTTTTTTTTTCCCAGGCTTATCCCAAGAGAGACATAACCAACATCGTCGAATCGTCGCACTACGTCAGAGTTGGCGGATGGTGCAAACCTGGCAGGACCAAGTGCAAACTTTCCCGATGGGTCAAGCCCTACAGATGTCTAGGTAAGCAGTGACGTGGTTGGTTTCTACGTGTGTTGCCTATATCTACGTGTTGACAATTTTTAAACTCACTCTGTACATAACAATCTTGATTCAAATTCGAAGACCGAAACATGTTTGAAATTGAATTTGTTACGTCAAGAGACTCGTATTGATTTTCATCCCATGTACATGTGTGTATTCAACGAGAATATTGTAGATCGCGAGATATATATAAATTATTCTAAACTATATATATATATATATATATATATATATATATATAAATTATTATATATCGCGATATATAAATTATTCTAACTCGCGCAGCGTGTGGAATTTTTGGTATTTGTAACCAAACACACATGATCTTACAAACGGAAATATTGAAATGTGTACGAATGAGTGCGTTCAAACAACTCAACACAGTTGCACAACGGTTGAGAGATAAATTACTTCTGATAGGATCATACTTTTGGAACCTAAGCAGATTTTGAAGAATAGTCCTATCGTAAGTGATGATCTCTCAACCGTTGAGAGTTGTCTGAACGCACCCGATGTCTGCTGCGCCTATCGTCAACGCGTGGCTTTTTAAAGACGATAAACGTAAGAATTCCAACATATCTATCGTACGGTGAGATTAACGTCGCGTTATCGCAGGTTTGACAATAATTGGTAAGAACTGTGGCGAAAAAAACTCGCGATAGAGATAACATCTAGCGACACACGCTTGACATATCCCTAGGCGCTTGAAAATTGCAAGAAAATATCTCGAGAGGACCTGGTTGAGAGCGGCGCTAGAGAGAAATCGGTCGGAGATCGGCCGCGAGGCTTGTCGATAATGCCGACGTTTCCTGAGAAATGAAGAGATCGATCTCCGGCAGCAGGGGATTTAGTTATAAATTTAGCAGAGAGCGGCGCGCGGCTCTCTCTCTCTCTCTCTCCGAACTGCTCTTCGGCCGGAAGAATTCAATTTGCAGAGTCAATACGCTGTGTAACGGACAATGTGATATCTGCTGTCGGATTGTTCCCGCCCGGACTACTACCTTTCTGATCAGTCTTTTTATCGCGCTCAACAACGCGCGAGAAAACTATCGCGAACGTGACGTTGGCGCAGCAGCACCAATAGCAGCATCGATACATACACGAGAGATCGCACTCTTCCTCTTTGTATCTATCTCGTTTCCTTATACGTTACTCGATTTATCTCTCTCTCTCTCTCTGTCTGAGCAAAAGTGACAACTGTGACAGATGTCTTCGTTTCTTCTCAGAAGTTTTTTTCGCGCAATTGAACGATTTGCCGCGGAAGCGGCAGGCAGTGGTAGTAGTCCGTGTATAATTAAAGTGAGATCTCATTGACGTGATCTTAATTAAAGCGGATCTCATAAATTACAAACTCACTTAGTTCTGAACTGTTTTCATTACAACTGTTTTCTCCGTTGCAAAAACAAAACAACTGAATTGCATAATTACCATTGGTAAATATCATCGTTCCGGTACGTTGATCACGTTACAAGACGGTCACGGTCGTCGTTCGCTTCGCGTCTTCCGCGATCTTCCGTCGCGTGTCTTATAAAAGGTTCATTAATCTTTGAAAAAAAAAAAATAGGATCAGTGTGGAAAAAAGTATGACCGCGCGCGAAAAATTAGATTCTTTCTCTTTTCTCGATGATGAACAAAATCTGAAGAAAACAGCGTTTTTTTTTTGTTTCTTGTGTTTTATTTGTTTATATGTTTCTTATTATCTACACTTGTTTGTTTTTATTCCATGTAGCGGGAAAGAAGAATCGCCGCACGAATATATACTTGAAACGCAAATCAGGCGAGAGTGGTTAATATCCTCGAAGGGGTCTGGCGTGACTAAGTCTATTGATCAGCAATGTGGTGAACGTACCGATGCGTCATCCTCTTAGACGCATTTCTATTCCGTCCCCTTGTCTTCTGGTTTTTCTTTTGCGTGATTTTCCGATTGCCGTTCGCCGAAGCTAATGGCAACGGTACATTTATACAGACATTACCGGAAATATTATATCATACATATGATATCTCTCTCATATATATATATATATATATACACAGAAACGTCTCAGATAAAAATATCGTGTCAAATGTGATTTCCGATAAATCTCCAACGTCAATTTGTCTTGGAAGAACTCTCGAGATAGGCCATTATGCTATTGGAAGATTTTGATCATTTGACTTTACTCAATTTATTAAGGAACTTAAATAACCGAGAAGATGAAACATTAAAAATTCTGAAGAAAAATTTAAAAGCTCGTCTGAATTCAGATAAAGTTTTGTCATTTGCATTATTTCAAAGTGGTAGTTTGGAAAGCAAACCGTAACATAAAAATTGAAGTACAAAGTGATATTTACTCCGCGACGTGTGATGTCTTGTCGGCAGAGACGGTGTAATTCCTAAAGAAGATTTAAAGAAGTTCTTATAAATAGATTGGAGAGTTATTGATTTCAAGCTTTTGTGATATATTTTAGTGACATATACATGTGTTGTGCAGATTGTATAAATAGATGTATGTGAAGCGAAGTCGGTGAATTCGTCGGCAAATTATATTCGATATCGCGTCGTCGTAATATGATTCGTCGAATTTTCTCCTTTTTGAAAAAGAGAGAAAGAGAGATTACATTTGTTAATTGGAAATAACGAATATGAGAACAAATAACTTTACTGGGTTTTATCGATAACTATACTGCAATATATTTACCGTTTTTGCAATATATTTACCCCATTCTCTTTCAGAGGGACCTTTCCAGAGTGACGCGCTTCTCGTGCCGGAAGGCTGTCTTTTTGATCATCTTCATAATCAAACAAAATGCTGGGAATCTCACAGGTAAACGAGAACACATGTACACAAAACGCATCTCTGCCAAAGATAAAATTAATTTTCTCAAGCGAAATTTGCGATCAAACAGTGAGAAGCAGAGAATAGTTTAAACTGTGTTTTTATATATATATATAATAACTAAACATAGTTTATACTGAGTTTCTATATATATATATATATAATATAGAAACTCAGTTTTATTTTTTAGTTGTTCTATATATATATATATATATATATATATATATATAAAACAAAACGTTTCTATATATATATAGAAACATAAAAAACAAAAAATAAAACTGAGTTTAATTATACATATATATAAATAAATATAGAAACTCAGTTTTATTTTGTTATGTTTCTTCTCTATTTTTTCATATTGTACGTATATTGTCTTTTTATAAATAATATATTGCATATTTTATGTTGCTCGCAGTTTTCTTATTCGCTCGTTATTAGGATTACGATCTAATTGCTCAATTAACGATCGATATTAACTTCGCTAAACTGCAATATCGAATTAATCTCACGTTATGTTATGTCTCGATGAAGATCGCGATGTTCCAAGTCCGTTTATCGCTAAGGGATCAAGTGCGGGTTCTCGAATACACGTGGCTGCACCAAGTGGATTTGTGTTTCAGATGGAACGCCACTGCGGCGGAAACCTGCCGAGAACGAAACATGAACCTGCGTAGCTTCGCAATGCTGCTGCCTTGCGGTATATCTCTGTTCTCCGGTGTCGAGTTTGTATGCTGCCCGAAACACCTGAAAGGTACGTAACGTACGTACGCACTGCTTTATCACAATTCATTCATACCTCATTTTGCGCGCGCAAGCGAGACGCAGCGAAAACGCACGTCGCAAAGCGGCGCGGCACAGTCGTGGGCGCGAGAACGAGAAAACGAATAATTAACGCGCTTTTACGCAACAACAAAAGAAAAAAAAAAAAAAAAGAAAGAAAGAAAGAACCGCGATTCGACGTTTCTCACGTTCATTTTCATGCATATATTCTTCCGGCATTTCGCTGCGTCCGCATCTCATACGATGACTTCCTTTCCAGACGCGCGAGCTCGCGAGCTCTTCTCGGGCGCGAGGTCATTTTACCGTAAAGTGGGGAGTACTTGTGACGATCTCTTAAAATCCAACACTAGAATCCAGCTTGTTTTTGTTGAACACGTGTGTCGTGGTCTTAATATAGCAAAATTCAACTACGTCGAGATATCTCTCTGTTGTAATTTTTTTTTTTTTTTTTTTTTTTTTTTTTTTTTTTATTTTTGTTTTTTTTTTGTTTTTTCTTACATTCCTTTCTCTTAACTCCAGATCCAAATTTAAAAGACGGAATTAACAAGAATTCAATTGCGAATTCGCGCTTGTTTTCTGCAGATAAAAAAACAAAAAAAAAACAAAAATTAATATTGCAATTTTAATTTATGTGACGTTTTGAAATAAGTACTTGTGACGATCTCTTAAAATCCAATACTAGAATCTAACTTGTTTTTGTTGAACACGCGTGTCGTGGTCTTAATATAATAAAATTCAACTACGTCGAGATATCTCTCTGTTGTAATTTTTTTTTTTTTTTTATTTTCATGTATTACATACATTGTTGCATAATTGTATTTTCTCACAAATCAAACTTAACTCTAGATCCAAATTTAAAAGATGGAACTAACAAGAATTCTATTGTGAATTCTCTGCAGATAAAAAAAAAGAAAAAAAAAGAAAAAAACCAGAAAATATTGCAATTTCAATTTATGTGACGTTTTTTGAAATAAGCGATGATGAAACAATCTTGACGGTTAGCACGACATTGTTGAAATTTCGCTGTAACATTTATTATCCGGCTTTTTGCACTTGTCACTTACTTTTACAATACCTGTTAAGTTTTGTAGTATCGAGCTTTTTCAACGTCGCACATAATTCAATTTTCGCTTTGATACCGCGCGTAGCTGTATTATTGTTTTTTTTTTTTCTTTTCGTTTTTATTTTAGTGCAGATGAACGATCAATGGACCGGGGCGTATCAAAGAGCATTGACAGAGAGTAACAGAGGTGGCATGAATATTTACGTGGAATTTGCGGCGTATTTATTGCGCGATGAAAATACCAGGCATTTACACTGTTCGTTTTCAATCGACTGTTGCGAAGACAGAGAAAAAGAAAAAAAGAGAAAGAGAGAGAGAGAGAGAGAGAGAGAGAGAGAGAGAGAGAGAGAGAGAGAGAGAGAGAGAGAGAAAGCTAGAGAGAAATAGTGTGTGTACGTGTGTGCACATAGAACTGTAGAAGAGCGCAAAAAGGGTGTATTAAGCGGAGAGGTACCACCTACTTCCCTTCGCCTCTTTCCTCGTCGTCTTCTTCCAGCACATGGGGTGGCTCGTGCCACCCTCCGCAAGCTCGCTCTCTCTCCCCTCTCTCTCTCTCTCTCTCTCTCTCTCTACCTTTCTCTCACTCTTTCTATCTCTCTTTCTCTTTCTCTCGCCGCAAGTTCTCTTGTCTTCTCTCTCCCTCGTGCAATCAATAATGTCCGCCACCGACGTTCCTGACGACTGCGCAACGTAACACACGCCGTAGCTTTCGGCGTCGATGCGCAACTTTTCTTTCCTATACGTCACGTATAATGGGCTCGATTAACATACACTTACATACACACACACACACACACGGGAGGGGTTGTTCGTTTTACCTCACCACATTGTACGCTTGCTTAGATCTTCTCTACCTACTTTATTATTTTTAGGATAAGTAACAATGTAATCAAAATCGAGTCGAGAGAGAAATACGCGCGCGTTGTTCGGAAAATAAAACGCGAACCGCCGTTATTACAAAGCGACTAAAATCGAAATATTACTCGCGTTTGAGAGAAAATAACAAATGTCTCACACACACAGTCGCACGCAGAAGCGGAGGCAGTTCGGTATATAAATATCCCCGCCGCGCGGGAATATAAATGAATGCAATTTATATATATATATGTATGTTTCTTGGTGGAAAATCGAAACACACAATTTTCTTTGCCCATTGAAGTTGTTTCGGAGCGAAAAAGAGAGGAGTCGTTTTCAAACAGTTCTTTTTAACACTTCTGAAATATTTGTTCAAATATATATATATATATATATCTCTTTGAATTTTATTGAATTTAAAAGTTTGAACACGACGACTCAGATCCTATTATTGTTTTCACACGTATTTGTATAAAATTGTTTTTTTTTTTAATTTAGGAAGTATTTCATGCACGACGCATTAATTCGGACACCAATTGTGCGCGCGTGTGTTCTCGTGCTATTTTTATAAAACTTGACGGTTTCATTATTATTGATATATATATATATATATATATATAACGGGGGGTACGTTCGTTATTGATAGCATTGAATTTTCGTCGTCTCTGCATTTCGTGTCCCTCCCCTTCTATTCAGACACTTCCGCGATCGATCCCAAATAAACCGCGCTCGCGAAGGAATCCATAACTCGCGTATCACGGAACAATCCCGACGTAAGACATTCTCGAGGAAACTGCTAACGCGCGCAGTTATCACGTATCTACCGTGACCCAGATAAAAGGACGATATACAGGGGGATGGGGGAGGGGGGGGGAGGGGAGAGGGCTACAGTAAAGAGAAGAGCTTTTGTCTGCTTTTGCAGAAGTCAACTCGTGAGAAGTCGCGTCTCATCACAGAGCGTCTATTCTCAGCGAGTGAGACACACCTCGAGAACCTAGTTAGCCAAGATGCGTTCTCCACGCTGCCACCCCCTTTCGTAGTAAAACCCGGCGAAATTAGAATTTCCAAGATCTGGAAAGATGCGAAACACCGGGGGAAGCCGGAGCGAGAATGAAAAGCGTTTTGCATAGTTACAAATGTTTTCATATATCTCATGTTATCTCTTTGCGCCGGTGGTAGAAATCTCTTCGCACCTGTTTTTCTTTTTTTTTTTTTTTTTTTTTTTTCCACATCAAATTCACAGAAACGCGACTTTCAAATCAATCGGACAAGATATTTCTGCGAGTTTCTATCAATAATTCTTAGTTTTTTATTTAATTTAAATTAGTTAGTTTAAATTTTTAGGTTTTTTTTTATTTTTACGACTTTTTAATTTATATATCATATTTATATATTTTTAATTTACACGTCATATTTATATATAATTTATATTATTCGCGACTTTTTAATTTATCTATTTTTTTATATGATAATAAAAAAAAGACCGTTGTGTTTGCGAAAGATGTTTTCATGTTGGCGCGACGTGTTTCCTTTCGCCGAGAGAAATCGAAAGGAATCTCGATCACGAGTCGTGAACGAGATCTGTGTTCACGCGAAATTGTCAAATTGCAAACGCGCGCGCGCGCGCCTTCGGGTATATATACGACCGATTCTCTTTCCAAGTACATCAATAGATAACCGAGTGCCCGGTGACACTGGCAGTGTATCACTGGTCCGCGCATTGATTTAGATTATGGGCTAGAATTCCGCGGAGCTATCTGCGGCGAGCCCAATCTCCCGTCCATTTACTATTCAAACAATGGCAGTCGATATACTGGAATGTGCGCGCGGACAGGAATTCCAATAATTGCACCTATCGCGCCACGTACGCATATGCATGTGACATCGTATGTGTATGTGTGTGTGTGTCTGTATGTGTGCGCGCGCGCGCGCGTCGAGAACCGCGTTGTCGTTGGAAAAAAGAACAGAAAAAAAAAAAAAAAACGCAGAAAAATATTTTCACATAATCAGTAGCGCTTTGTATTAATCAAACAATTTCTGTTTTTCTTTATGCAGGTTTCGCGTTGAGCGAATAAGCAACAAGCCGCACATCTCGGGAGGATTCACATTTTCTCACAATTAAAATACGAATCATCATCACGCATTCACACTTCATTCGACTTATGCTTTTTTAATCGTGTATCGTTCGGACGTAGATGTAGCGAAAGCTGATAATCACGGGGAGTAAAATACAATAATTGTTTTTGTTTTTGTTTTGCAGAGAACGTGAAACCAAAGAAACCTATCGATCTGCCAATTCCTAAGAGCGTGGACGACGATCTTGACGAGGACGAGGATGATCTTGATGACGAGGACGACTTGGACGGCGACGCCGAGGACGAGGACAATTCGGACGGTGATCTCGATGGCGTGCTTAGCGATCAACCCGACGAGGACGAGAGTGAGGAGGAGTACGACGATCTCGACGACTACGACACGACCACCAGGTGGATAAATAAAAATATTATTGATTAACTTTAACCCCCTTTGCACTCCAGGCCTTTTTCGCGCGGCGCATCAGCAACTCCAGACGTTTCGCAGCCCTTTTGCACGCATTTCTTACCAGTGACTTAAAATCATTACACACACACAAATTAATGTATAAAATTTTTATGTATTTTAACATTTTATATATATCTCTACACCTTTGCAAACATAATTGAGAGTCACCTCTGGAGTTGCGGCATCAAACTCACACACGGTGAGTGAGAGTCACCACTGGAGTGCAAAGGGTTAACAATGTTGAAATTATTTTATATAGATTATTATTTTTATTCAATTTCTTGTGAATATTATATATCAGTCGACCGACAACGACCGTTTCTACAACGGAGAAAACCAGACAGGAGGCGACGGCAATGCCACTGCCGGTTAGCACAAGCACGCAGCAACCTTCCCAACCGCAAGGCACTCCCGATCCCTATCTAACGCACTTCGATCCGCGATCCGAGCATCAAAGTTACAAACAGGCTCAGATGCGACTCGAGGAGGTGCACAAGGAAAAAGTAACGAAAGTAAGTTCGATTAATCGCAGTGGGAAAAAAAGCTAGGGTAAAAAATGTTTTGTGAAGTTTACGTCGTCCTACGTGCGTCCTCATTTTTGTGCGAGAAAAAGCAATCGTGAAATAAATAAAAAATGTATAATTAATTGTTAGATTTTGCAAATTGAAATATATATTGAAATTTTGGTACTTCGAAGAGAGAGAAAAGATAAAATGAGAAACAACATATATATCTCGGAGAGACAAATATCATGACGCGGAACATTGGTGTCGAAATCTTTGTGCTACAACGCTTTCAGGTGATGAAGGATTGGAGTGACCTCGAGGAAAGATATCAGGATATCAGGGCTCATGATCCCGTTGCCGCGGACGCTTTCAAACGCTGGATGACAGCGCGATTCCAAGAAACGGTCGCCGCTCTTGAACAGAGCGGAGCGGCGGAAAAGCATCAGTTAAGCGCGATGCATCAACAAAGAGTGCAGGTATGTATTTTTCAAACGTGTAATGCGAAGTGATAAATCCGTTTTGTGAACGTGGTCGCGACGTTTCGGCTTTGAATTCAACAACAAAATTCGTCGCAAATGAAACATGACACATATATGTGTATATTATTTATACAAATATCTCAGATGAATTTAATCTCTCTCAGAAGCTAGATCTTCTAATAATAATGTTTTTTTTTCATCAGGAGGCTGTTAAACAAAGAAACGAGGAAGCTATGTCGTGCTACACAACGGCTCTGAACGAGACACCGCCGAATGTAAGTTCGTGCGCGATATATTTCGCGCGCACGCGCGCGCGCGCAAAACAAAAAAAAACTATCTTCTAACTGTTCCATTAATTTTTTGTTTTTTTTTTTTTGTGCGCAACCTGTTTCAGGTACATCGTATTCAGAAATGTCTGCAAAAGTTGCTTAGAGCTCTTCATAAAGACAGACACCATACAATAGCTCATTACAAGCATCTTCTCGATAGCAGTTTGGAACAAGCGAAACGAGAGAAGCCGGCTACTTTGGAACATCTGGCCGAAATCGATAGGATCACCAATCAGAGCCTGTTGATGTTGGAACGGTAACGTATACATATATACTTGAATGTTTAAAAACATTTTGAATTCACGTCATTGAACAAAACGAAGCGAATCAACAGCGATAACATATACGTTTGATTTGCACGCGAGAAAAACGCACGCGCCGCGACCGCGTATAAAGACATTAGAGACTTACTTTTTTCTTTTATCTATGTTCAGATATCCGGAGCTAAGCGCGAAGATTGGCCGTCTCATGGACGATTACGTTTTGGCCCTCAGGAGTAAGGATGAAACTCCGGGAGTGCTGCTGGCGATGACGCGCGAAGCGGAGGCAGCCATTCTCGACAAGTACCAGGCTGACGTTGCCAGCAAACAACAAGGTATTTACTGATGAATTTTTTTTGTTGAGAGTAAATTTGCGAGAATAAAATGTGCTTTATTATTTTGACGTGATATATATATAATATATATCTTGTTGTTATAGAGAAGGAACATCAGAAGCAACTCGAACGAGCGCGTAAAGAACAACGCAAGGTGGAGCGCGGCGAGTTGCGCACGGAGCAGGAACAACACGAGGAAAATGACTCAGCAATCGATAGCAAGGATATGCCACAGCAATCGGAACCCGCCGCGGTCGCCGCTATGCATAACGAGGGAGTAGTTAGAGCGGCTCACAGTATGACTCACGATGTCTCTCATTCCGAGCCAGTAAGAATAGTTATTCTCTTCTCTTTTTAATTGTATAAAATTTTATACAGATTATCATAGACTTTGGCTATTTTTACAAATTTGTGTATTTATTTATTTATTTATTTATTTGACGCGCAAACTTAAAATTTTACTGACAGAGTCGATTTTTTTTTTTTTTTACAATACGATAATAATTACACGCGAATATATCTCGTTAATTTCGCAGGGTTATTCTGTAAGACGAGAGGTCTATCACAGAGAGAGTCGATCTGTTTATTTCACACTCGCTTTCGCTGGCATAGCACTCATGGCAGCCGCGGTTGTAGGCATCGCGGTGTTCAAGAGACGCAGCGCGAGAAGCCCTCACAGCCAGGTAGATCATTAAAGAAAAACAAAAACTCTCTTGTCATATTGCAACAAAATGTTTTTAAATGTAATTTTTTTGATTTGCGCCAACGCCAATTCTGTTTCTCTATCCGACAGGGATTTATCGAGGTCGATCAGGCAGCCACACCTGAGGAGCGACACGTTGCAAATATGCAAATAAATGGTTACGAGAATCCTACATACAAATACTTCGAGGTGAAAGAATAATTCAACAATCTCGAGAAACACTCACACAGTTTTGATTTCTGAAGTTGGTCGCAACCGCGTGTATATCTGTTCTCGCGTATTTTCTTCAAGAATCTCATAGTATTTTGTTAGAGTAAGATATATAAATAGAGTACGTATATCTCTAAAAAAAAAAAAAAAA